ACACGATTACTCTTTGTGCGCGCGTGCCGTCATCGGGTGACCGGGCTGAGACCGCCGGCTCGCTGCACTTGAGAACCCGCTTTAATCACGGCTGGGTGAAACCTGGACGCAAACCCAGCACCACCCTGCCGACTCAGTGCTCTGTGACACGGCATTAGCGCCGTGAGCCGCCCGGCCACCTCCGGCGCTCTCTATTGGGAGTCGCCCGAGCGTGTAATCCCCGCTCGCCCGCTCGCCGCTTTGTGCTCGCGGGCTCCGAGGCGGGCGGCTTTCCGGATGCCGCGATCGCTGGCATCCGCCGGTGCGGTCGCTCCAACCGCCCGCCCGCCCCGAGCGCCGTCCGTCCGCTCGCTGGGAACGTCGGCAGGCGGCCGGGCCCACGAGTGGCCCGTCCCGCCGTGGGTCTCCGGGGTTCGTCGTCAACGTTGGCCGCGATCAGTTCACCGACGGAAGAAGGCCTCCGCGCCTTGTTTCACGCGGCGGGGTGGGGAGGGGGGAACCTGTTCACCATCGCCACCATCGTTACACGCACGCACGTGTGACGTTGGTGTACGTGCTGCGGAAAGATGCGCGCGTGTTTGATTTTTACGTGCAGCGCCTATATATTAAAAAAATAACATCGTATATTTGATGTATCATCATCAGCAGCAGCAGCAGCCTCAATCGGCCAATCGGACTGCCTTTTGATCACGAATGAAGGATTCCACACCTCTGACGGTTCCGCTCGGTCCTCCTGAATCACGGCGCAGGGTGTGAAGTGGCGGATTGTCCCAATGCTCGCCGGTCTCCACGGGGAGCAATTGCGCGAGTTAGCCGCGCGTGGTTGCGCGGGAACCATGTTTGCCACCTGTTACCGACCCGCGTCCGTTTGTTTAAACCTCTCGCACCACTCGAACACGATGGATGTGGGACAACAAACGGCACAAGCCGACCTCCTGTACATTTCAACAGATTAATCTGCTCGTGCTGACTGCTTGCCTACCATTCGTGGCATATTTACATGGCTAAAGCTTGTATTTAGTGCTCGCAATATTTTAAGTGGGGTACAGCAGAGCCGTAACTCAACGAGACCGTGGCAATGAGGTCTTGAGGCTCTGAGTTGTTGTATTCTGTGACCATGGGCGACACATGCTCAAACGCAAACACGCGCACAAGGAGAGATCGCGGATGGTTCCTTTCGTGCCCTCGCACTTGAGCCTGCACCGCCAACGTGACACGGGCCCAGGTGTTGACCTCGCTTGTTTGTTGCCCTCACACACGTCCGATTAGCACAGTTGGCTCTGTACGGTGCCAAATAAGTTCAACACATTATCAACGCTAACATGGAGGATCGAAGTGAAAGTCGGTTCTCTTTCGTGGACGCGCTTGCCTCACAGCGCAGTTGGCAGCGCCGCAGTTTGTGTTACACATAGACATGACATTAACTTGCTAATCCCCCTAATCTCCCTGCCTAATCTCTCCCATCAACATAGTGATAATTTCCCATGAACACAACTGACGTGCTTGCGTCCGGGGATGGAATTCCTTTCCAGCTCAGACCCCACTTACTTGCCCATCGCTTCATAAATAACCTACTTGTTGTAACAGCTCTCTCGCTGGTTCAATAGTTCTCATGCTGGATATTTTTTTTCTGCCTGAGGATGACTGCTTGTGTTGCGATCGAAACGTCGTGATTTGTTATTTTTATTTTATATTTCTACCTACGTGACTTTACCGAAAGAACCAAACAGTATTTTATTTTACTTTGCAAATTTGGGCCTCTGGGCAAAACCATTCCTGCAGACGACATCGGGGCATCTTCAATGAACGCCACCGCTATGTCGCTCCTCCGATTGGCGCGGTTGGCATTGTATGGCGCGAAAGAAGTTCACCTGACATACAACGAGGCGCCGTCATCCCCTGCGCATCTTCGACATTTCTCTCGCACGGTATCCCTGCTGCAGCCTCCCGATCCCCTGATCGTCTACTGTGCACCCCCCGCCCTGCTCCACGGGGTGTCGGGCGGTGGTGGGGGGGGTTGCCTGCTCGCCCCACGAATTGAAAACCGCTGCGATGACGGGGTCACCGCCATCTGCCATCGTCCATCCGCTGCTGGATGAAGAATTCTCCACGCCATCAATCGCTCGCGGTGCCGGCCATACCGCGATGCGTGCCCTGACACCGCCCGGCTTTGCATGCTGCAGTAGGTTTCTTTAAGGCTGCGAGGTGGCCGGGAGATGGCAGCACAGCAGTGGGGAGCGTTGAGAGTTATCGTCCTCTGATGCTGGGTCTGGGTTTTCCCCGAGTACTTCGGTTTCGTGATAATTGGTTTTTTCCCCTTCTATCTGGCAACAAAACTGACACCTTTTTACAAGGAGTCATGTTTGCATAGACCGCAATACCTGCAGTCATAATACAAACAAAAGAACATAACTCTGATAATGGGCACTGTCCTTATCAGAGTTATGTTTTTTTGTTTGTATTATGACTGCAGGTATTGCGGTCTATGCAAACATGACTCCTTGTATAAAGGTGTCAGTTTTGTTGCCAGATAGAAGGGTAAAAAACCAATTATCATATTTTTACTGGCATATGAAGTTCCCATAGTGATCCGGTTTCCTTTCGTAGGCCCAAGCACCCGTTACTGGAATTGGCTAAACGACCGAACGCGGAAGCCTCCTCAACAACTCACTCGACTCTTTTCAAGAGGCTTTTTTCCCGTGTTAATAAAATTACCGTGTTTTATTATTTTTTCAGCTCCCTATGAATGAGCTGTCGGATGACGGCCCTGCCCATTACGTTTCAGCCATGGGGTCGTTTCAACAACATACTTCACCGAGCTGGTCAGTGCAGATTGGTAAAGGGAAGGCCCTAAACCGGTTTAGTGTCTGTGTGTGTGCACGTTGATCTTCTTTCGCGCCGTACGTAGCCAACCGTGGAGGAGTGGCGACCGGGAATCTGTCTGTTTAACGCGTAGTAGTAGGCTTTCCCGACCAATATTATCCTTCGGAGGTTTTTGGGTTAGATTGCGTAAATATAAACGCGTCGTTAAACCCGCCACCACCCGACACGGCCAATAGCAAGGTTTTGTCACGTAAACAGACCGTGCCGATTTGTTCTTAGTTCAGCACACTGCTGTGTTGGAGAGTCAACTCACAACATTTACCATTCAAGTCTCGTGACGTTTCGCCAGAGGTCGCAATCTGGTACCCGATACCCATACCCTACCCGATACCCGGCTACCCGTACCCGGCCGGGTATGGGTACGGGTACCCATTTGCGACCCTGGTGCGGCCGGGTGCGGGTAAGGAATCAAAACCCGTTTGCGACCTCTGCGTTTTCGCCAACGATTATCTGTGGCCGCTGGGTTCTCAGCACGGCGTGCTAACCGCTGCAGCGCTTCTCACCCACTCGCCAATCCATTGGAGGAGTGTGCATCCCAAGACCAACAAAACTTGCATAACTTTATTGAAGAGAATCCAAGAAAGGTTCACTGAGTGTTCAAGGCCATACTTCAGGGAGGGCTTGCATTTTGTATGTTCAGTCTCATCTTTATTAAAATGTATGTTTAGAATTGTGTTTGAATAGCCCCCCCCCCCACCCCATGCGTCCAACACGAGTCCGTGATATATTTTTCTGCTTCATCATCCCCCTCTTTTTGCAGGGCGATTAGCATCGTCAGTTGCGTCGATGTCGAGGTACGTTGGCCAGTTGCGTGCAGTCGACCCAACGGTGCCCACGCGCTTCCTGCGTTCCCCGTCAGCAACCGAGGCAGAGTCACAACATCGTTCCCGTAATCATAATCAGTTATCTATGCTCCCCCAGGAATAGGATGAGCCATTAAGCTCTTTTTCACAGGCAGGTTCAGAACGTGACAACAACAAACAGTACAACAACACGATAGTATAGGAAAGGTAAACAACTCACAAAAAAACCTTATTTTATTTTACCAGGTGAAGCCGACAGAGCCGTTAGCTTCTGCAGCCTCACGTAGCGACACCGCTGGATGGTGCCTAGCAAGCTTCACGCTGCCGTGGGGGAGCCTCGGGGACACGCACACACAGAACCAAGATGACAGCTTCTTGTGCTTTTTTATATTTGTTTCGGGTTTGCACCTTCACGCAGTAGCGTTGTCGAGAAAAAGGGCTCGCGAAGCCTGCGGAGGGGGGAGGGAAACAAACCGCTGGCATTGCTGAGCCAGCGGTTGCTGTGAAATGAAGCGAATTGGTTAAGAGTGCGATTCCTGACGTGCGTGTGCAAGGGGACCTCTGGGAGAGACAGCGCCCGCCGGTCGGTTTCTGGCCCCTCTGTGCGCAGCGTTGGATTGCTCTTCCACGCCACGACTGGCACAGCATGGGTAGGCCTTCATCCAACAGTGTAATTGACAAAGCGGCTGTAAATGATTATAAGTTGTTGGTTTTTTTTGCGAATGAATATCAGCCACTTGACTGGCGCTCTTGGGACATTAAATACGCAGAGATATTGGCCAATCGTCCTAACCAGCACTTCAAGCGAAGGCGTTCTATGAATTTGAATTAGATTAGGATCATCCTTTTACAAAACAAACGACTTGGGACTCACTGTTTCCCCGCGGTAAATAAGTTGATGACATCGTGGTAGCTCTCGCCGACTCCCCTCCCTTCTGGGTTATCACTCGCATCTCACCACATGTTTTTTTTTCCTGCCGCGCTCGCCGCAAATTCACGGAACGGTGGGGGAGCAAGCGAGCGAGCCCCCCTCTCCTCCGGCCGCCGCGTCTATAACGAAGGGGGGCCGTCCGCTTGCTTGCCGGGCGTTGGAAATTAGTCGAGCAGCAGGGCGGTGTTTGACACGATCGATCGACGAATGACCTTCCGTTTAAACCGGTGTTTCTTTTTATTTTTTTACTCTCACACAGTGGCTTTCGTCATTGAGGATAGCGTGTCGCGGGGGCGGGACGTCGATAGCTGATGTCCAATGACCGCGGCAGTGCGAGTCATGTCGGTCTGGCCTGTGTCTCTCTGTGGTGCGCGTGCGTCCAGGTGCGCGATCTGGAAGGCATCCCCCTCATCCTGGAGAGCACCAACATCGACGACAACAACCCCTGTATCCTTGTTTTTCGCCAACGACGCTCGCTTCGCCACGTTTGTCCGCGGGCGTCCGTCCGGCCCGTCCAGGCCTCTGCTGCCACCACCTCCGCAGCGTCTCCTCCTGCGTCGCCGTCCCGCGTCGCCGTCCCGCGTCCCGCCGTTGTCGTCATCGTCCTAGGCTGTGGCGCCAAATCAGAGGTGGGCGGGCGGGCGAGCGAGCGGGGTGGGCCGGCGGGCGAGTGGGCGTGGGGGGGGGGTGAGCATTCTGCGAAACTCTTTTTCAAGTAAAACTTTTCACGAAACAAAAAAACCAACCCAACCTATCAGCCCGCCGCCGCCGATATACGGCGCGCTCTTCACTTGATGCATTGTTGGACGGGAGGGAGCGGTTCGTCCCGGAGAGGAAAAGATTGGCTCTCTTTTTTTCCTTTAAAAAAAAAAAATAGGGTGGCGGGGGAAACCGGGAGGGTTTGCCGATTTTTTTTTTTGTTGAGAGGGAGCAAAGCAGTCGCGTTAACCTCCTGCCCGGTTCAGAATTCCTGCCGCAAGCACACAAATACACAGATCCCCCATGTAGCCTCGACAGACTGCAGGGGCAAGTGCTGTTAGCGAGCGCCTATGAAGGCTGGCACGGCACGGCACAAAAGGGGGGTGGATGGGCAGCACCATGCCCGGCCGATGTTTACACATTTAACCGGGTAATCATTCGAGGCTCAGTCGACTTAGGGGAGGCTCAGGTACCGGTTCAGACAATCGTTACCGGTATTGGCCGTGAGTGGGAATCGAACTCAGGCAGCCGGGTTCGTAGCGCAGCGCGCTAACCACTGCCCTACTGCTCCCCATATCTGTGCTCATGCACATACACACGCGCACACGCGCGCACACACGCACGGCCCCTACCCCTCCGGCAAAGATGCACCGAATGCCACGGCGCTCCCCCGCCTTCCTGCCACCCCTGCGCACCACCCTCCCCAAGCCCCCCAATCCGCCACCCCTCCTCCCCGCCCACCCCTTCTTTAAAGTGTCCCTTCAACGTGTAATACGAACCCACTTGTGCTGTGCTGTACTGTTGTGCGTGTGCGTGCGTGTGCGTACACGTGCGAGCGCGCTGGTGCGTACGACTGCAAGCGTGCGATGATTGTTTCCCCGTGCGTGTCTGCGTGTGCGCGTGTTCTGTACGTGTGTGTTGGCGTGCGACTGCGTGTACGTGCGCGTGTGCGTCCGCTGCACGACGAACCCGACGATCCCAGTTCCATTCCCACCCACGGCCAACAACGGAGGCCAAAGCCTGAATCGTTCCTGGGCCTTCCCAAGGTCGGCTCAGCCCTGCTATGAGTATCGCAAGTTGTGCGGTGTGTTAACCGTCAGCGCTGGGGAGACAAAGGCGGGCCGGCCGTGGTCCTGGCCACCCAGCCCGTCACGCGTCGTGCGTGCCTTCGTTGGTGCTACTCGTCAATAGCAATTACCCCAACAGTTTGTTGAAGGCTACGCGGATGATCTTTGTCTCTGTTCCTCTGTGCATTGCACATGTGTGTCCGTGCTTGTCGGTATATAGTTAGCCTTCGCTTAACGCGTGGTGTTCACACCATAACGCGGCTACTCTATTAGGGAACAGTTTTCGCACAAGGCGGAAGGCACGCACCGTTACAACGTGGAACGCCCAGCGTTATAGCGTGGGACGCACCGTTATAACACGTAGCGCTCAGCGTTATAACGTGGGACGCACCGTTATGACACGTAGCGAGGTGGAACGCACTCACCGTTATGACACGGCTTCTGAGCGGCGGTCGACTACTTTCTTCAGCTGCGGCGGCTGAGCGGTGTGGGAATTCTGGGTGCGGAATGACACGTAACCCTCATCTCACCTCTTCGTCCCGCCATCTTACCGTCTGCTCGTACGTCGTTGTCGCAACCCCCACCTCGGCAGGAACGCATCCACTCCCACCGCGTTTAGCGATGGACGACCGACCGCGCGTGCGTGCGCGTCGCATCGTGGCCGCGTGCGCGTCGAGCGCCGCCTCCGTCCCTCGACGCGCACGCGCCTCAACTTTCGGTGCTTTTGGGCCGCAGGGTTGGTGATTGTGAATGTTTTGACACCCAGGACCTCTGCGGGACAACGCCGTCTCTATTGCGGAGATTGTCGTCCGCTCGTTGCGCGTGCGTTTCATCCGGACAATTCTGCTTTTCGCCCGCGTGCGAAACGGAAACCGGCCAAACATCTCAATGCAGGACCCCTCCGAGTGTCGTATTGACATTTAGTGAAGCTCCCCTTCATGACAAGGGGGGGGGGGGGACGTCATTATGTCTATCAAAGCTTCCGGCGCCAGCTGGCAAATTTTGGTTTGGCGTGAGATCGGGAGATGATGATCGTGATGATGGTGCATTCCTGCCTTTCGGTCCGTTTAATGAGATTCACCGGGATTATCATCATCATCGTCGTCATCGTCAGCAGCATCAGCAGCAGCCGTCATCGCCACCCTGCGACGCAACGTCGGCAGATTTTTTTGCGAGCGACATTTTTCACGGTGGGGGGGAGGAGGGGCGACGTACGAAATTAAGATCGAGAGAGAGAGTGGATTTTGCCACCGCCTATTTCTCGCCGTCCATTCTTTCCGTTCGCCGGTCACGCGCTCGCACCGCCCCCCCCCCCGACCGGCGCGCCGCCCCCAACGCGTTGTTGCCGCGTAACGGTCGGGGTTTTCCCAAAGCGCGCCGCCGTCTCCACCGGAGGGATGTTGAGCCAACGGGGGCCCCGGGTCTGTGCTCGAGCATTAAGCCCCCCGTCTCCCCCCGCCCCCCCCACCGCCCCCCCAGAGCGCCCTCGCAAGAATGGGCCGTTGTCGTGGATGCAGTGGCCCAAATGATCCATCCGTATTCCCCGAAAAACAAAACAAGGCTTCCTTGTAAGTTGCACGCGGCTTAATGAAACCATTCTGCATGCGAGGGCATTCATTTGAAAGACTGAGAATGAATGAGCGAGTGACTGAATGTGGTCGATGGCAGAATTTTAAGGAGCGCGCGCGCGCTCGTGCGTGCGTGCGTGTGTGCGCGCGCACGCGCGTCTGCGCTCAGCGAGCCGCTTTGGCTGTTGAGCACGTTGGGTAAACTTATATATGCGTGGAGGCGCTCCCCCCGGTTGGGCGGAACGGGTGGGTGGGTGATTGTGGGGTGGTTGGGCGAGTCTTCCCGGGGTTCTCGGCTCGTGTTTGCCCGCGACGTCAGTTCCCGCGGCCGCTCGTTTGAAGCCTTTGATCGCGCCGGCTCCGAGGGACGGGAATCGGCCCGGCCCCTGTGGAAGGAAACTCGCGCTGCCCCGCGAGAGCCGATAAAGCTGCCCGTCGATTGTTCCTATCCGCGCGTATCGCTCCATTTGAATTTAATTGCTTTCATTGTATCGTTGCGAGCGGCGCGGCAAGCCCGGCCCGCTTTGGGCGGTCATCAACAGCGCCACGTGGGAACGTCCCTTTTTATCTTTGGCTGGGGGCCGGGATTTTAGGCCAGGCTATCGGCGTTGTTGGCTCGTCACCCGGTGGGAACGTATCATCGATGCACCCCATCCACCATGCGGTGAATTGTCACCGATCACGGTTGAGTTTGCGAACATTATTACTTTTGTGCCCTTGTGGTCCTTGCATTGCCTCCTACCTGCTAGTTTAGAAACGCGGTCATTTACAAAACAACTTTGGGCAAGAAGTGCACGTTTGTACGCATGTTTGAACTTCTTTCGCGCAACGTACGTAGCCAACAGTGCTAATCGGAGGTGTAGAAGCTTGGGGAGATGCACGCTTAGAAGTTTAATTGACGGATGAACTCGCGGATTTAGGGACATGTCTTAGGTGGATGTGAGCAAGGCACGTCACTCGCAAGGGTGACGGACAATGGTCAAAGATAAAAGTTGAACGGCAGCGAAGGAATGCAACGAGTCCGCGAGAGGACATCCGCTGGGGAGATGGAGCTGATGAAATCAGTTTGTGTGTGGAGCAGATGCAGGATCGTGAGAGATGGTGGTAGCTTGGGGAGGGTGAGGGGGGGCGGGGGTCCTTCATCCAGCAGTGGATTGACCATGGCTGATGAGCACGATGGCACATGGCAGAATCTAGCGGTGTTAATCTCAAGAAGCTAAGGTGTTGTGGATCTGTTGAATCTATGTCGCTTTGAATCTTTTTGATTCGACAGTGTTGTTCATATACAGCATTTATCGCTGTCAACCTGCAGAGATTATTTACGTTGGGTGTGGTTCAACAGCTTTCTTAATTGAATCTGTAGAATCTTTAGTGGTATTAATATACAAGCCCTTAAGCCCCACAGCCTCCACTTCACCCCAGCGTCGCTCGTCCTCAGACAAGGGTTTGTGTTTCTCCAAAAGGTTGACGTTGCGGGATGGAACGGCCTCACAATCTGCCGGCCAGCGCCGCGTTCCTAGATTCGACTTTGGGTAGTTCCGTCCGATGGCCAACAGCGGCCAACGGCGTGCGCTCTCTGAACCGGGGGGAGGGCCTTAAATTTTTTGTTGCCGAGCTCCTCGCTCGATCGCTCACCACCAGGGGCAGTCCAGGCAGGCAGCGCTCGCACAGCTGTAAATCCATTGCCGTTAAAAACCTGTGGGAGGGCACACCTTCATGTACCCGGCATATCATAATACCACAATGAATTACCCAACTATTGGAGGACATTTAATGTGGGTTTTCCCCCCCCCCCCCCCTCAAAATATTTGTTGGAGGGTGGTGTGGGTACATGAGTGTGGGTGGGTGGGTGGATGTTTTGGGTTGGGTCCCTTGGCAAAGGTGGGAGGTGGGCAATGAATGAAAACGTGGAACTGGAGTAGTCGTTGGTTGGTGCCCGCAGAGTGACACATTGGTGTGGGCTGCCGGGTTTCAAAGTCGCGCCGGGTGTGCGTCAGCGCGTGCCCGCCCGCCCGCCCCGCCCGCCCCGCCAACGTTCCTTGCGCTGGGTTTTCGCGGAATATTATTCAACGGCGAGCTGATACGCGGGGCTTTGAGCGGCACCGTGGGAGGT